ACTTTCAGAAAAGTGCCCAGCAGCTAACCAGTTGAAGCAATAAGTTTTCAGACTGCCTCGTAACAGCAAAATACGTACTAAATCCACAGGTTTATCAGAAAGAAGGCAGTATACAGAAAGTTTGGAATGAGGGACAATTCTTCCAACTCTCTAGGTTAATAAACAGCCAATATTCTCCAGTAAAAAACAAATTTTATAACACATCTTGACGACGAAAACAAACAGGGTTTTCTCAGGCACTGTTCTCAACATCCAGAAGCAGCTGAAAACGATTTCGCTACTGTGTAAACGCAGGCTTACTGTAGAAACAGCCCAGTTTTCGGTTTCAGAGTCCTCTCCGGCTCGTAACTTCCAAGTCTGACAAACTGCCATCACCAATTTGCACTACGTTTCAGACCAAAAATATCACATAAAATACGCTTTTTTTTAAACGTTCAAAGAGACATTTTTTGAAATATCTACTGGAAGTTTTGCTTGTATTGCTTATATGCAACTGCTTTGCAAAATCAAATTACTGAATATACGTTTAAAAGAAGAAGTATGCAGTAAAATTCTCAAATTTCATCCAAGCCCAGCCGAATTACAAGCCTCTAAAGGTATCAGGCAGCTACGTGGTATAGTCTGCAAATTTGGAAGGGATTTGAACAGGGATTTGAAAATAAATCCCTGTTCAGTTGAAGTATGCAGTAAAATTCTCAAATTTCATCCAAGCCCAGCCGAATTACAAGCCTCTAAAGGTATCAGGCAGCTACGTGGTATAGTCTGCAAATTTGGAAGGGATTTGAACAGGGATTTGAAAATAAATCCCTGTTCAGTTGAACAGGGATTTATTTTCCCAGATTTTCTCTTCGGCATTTTTTTCTGCCTGGCGCCTAGACTCTATCTAAGGGCAAAAGTTAAAAAAATTCTGATATGACTTATGAGAGAATATACGTAAGTATATTCACTATGTGATAAATTTCTGATAGTTTTTGTACAAATAAATCGCTGGATGGATTAGCAGCTTCAGGAAGACTACAGTTGTCATGCGTCAATTAAATTTCCTTTAATTTGTTTTTGTTTTTTAAAAAGTACAAATTACTCCGGGGCGCATCGGGAAAGCAGGATGGTATTTCTGACAGCTACTGGCAGATAGATGACGCCTTCTCAGCTTGTAAACTTTTCTGAGAATAAAAATAAAAATTTATTAATCTGAAAACTTTCTTCAGCTCTTCCAAGAAGTGCTGATAGTGGGTTTTCCGGAAAAGTAAGATTTCGACTTGAAGGATTGTGAAAATCCCCGCGAAGCACAAAAGTGCCGGTCCTCTATTTTCCATTTGTACTCTTTTGCATCTACGGAGTCTGTTTCAGAAATTTTTTGCTACGAGTGAAAATTAAGCTTTGAATTATGCTGTTCGTATAGCTGTCATATGGCCGACATGAAAGGGCTAATCAAAATAAACCCTTTCCTATAGGTTTCATGGTTTCATAGCTATCGTTTTGGTGAAGTTGGCCGCACTAATACAGTGACATAAACAATGGTTTAGATCGACTGAAAAAGTCGAGTTTTTAGAAAGACAGTACCGGGAAACGGTCAGCTTGCAGCTGAAGGCTGTGAGGAGTCTGGCCCTGTTACATCCGAAACATATTAAGCATCGAAGGCACCATGCAAATGTATCAGCATGCTTGAATCAGCCAATAACAGAGTACTGCCAAAGTTTTTGATTTCAGAACAGCTTTTGTTGTCGTCTACACTGATCGGCTGAAAAAAATTTTAGGTACTGTTAGGGACGTTTTTTTCTTCTTTTTGGAACTGGTGCAGTCATCGGTTCACATTAAACAAGTTAATGTCTTGGATAACTATTGCGATCAACCTGATAACTGGCCCGCATATAACACAAATAGAGGAAGTAGCAAAATTTTACGGTAGAGGAAGGAATGACTACACAGTTAACTTTATTTTGTCAAGTTTTTTAATGGTATTCTGTGTGTATGTAACGGCAATTAGCAAGAAAAGCCGTACGTTGACTAGCAAACAACGGTACCCTCAGATGACCTCTGTGGGGCCAAAAAATGCAGAAAGTGAAGCCATCAACATCCAGATCAACATGAATTATCGATCAGATGACCCAAACATACATTGATTCCTCGGGGTTCCCCGGTTTTTGGCGCGAAAGCAGCGATGAAATTTCGGAATTAATTGGCGCATGGCTTTAACGCTTTTGTCACAGCGGGAAACTGGGTGTTAAAGGAGAGCTTTTGCTGCACCTTCTGCTGTTGTCTGTTGTGCTGACATTAATTCATTCTTCATTCTTCAAACTTGAATTTTTTCAAACGTTTTTCTGAAGACCTATGTTGACTTTTTAAGTCTTAACAGCTGAGAATTTTGGTGCTGCGTACTGTATAACAGCTGCATAACTAAACTGTGAAAAAGCCAGTTGTTGATCGGGCTTGATTACATTTAAGGTTCTAGGCTAGTTTGAATAGGTAATGCTTACTTTTCATTTCGGTCTGTCCTTCTGCGTTGCACGGTTGCGGATCAACAGCATCCAGGTCTGATAGTTATCTTTTTATTTTTTTAAAACATTTCTCATATTTATTGTCTCCTTCTATATCATATCTCTTTTTGTCATTGCCTGTCAGAATTAATTTCTGGTTTTTTCAATGTGAATCACCAGCTCCATATTCGTTGTGAATTTTTAACTGATAACTGATGATGTTCTGGAACACAAAAGTAAAAGTTATCTTGTTGGGGATAGAAGTCTGGATAATGCGGTGTGTCTGCAGAACCTATTTTTAGGGGATTGGTTTTTGAAAATCGAAGCAGGTTAAACTTTAGTTCATTTTTTCTACGGTATCATCAAAATAATATTTTTCAAAGTATTTCTTTATCAGTAGAAAGAGGATTTTTGCGCTTTTTTATTAATTGAAATGGCCCTTGAAATTCGTAATTTACGTTTGATTCGCTGTGATCCGGTTTCTTACTGAAATTCTTTAGGTTTTCCCGCACCTTTTCCATTCTTGCAATTTTCTACATGCAAAAGCTGTTAGCAGTGTGTTCATGCGGTACAAGAAAAGACACGATTGCCATCCTGATACTTGGCGCTGAATCGTTAAATAGTTATTCCCCCAATGCCTTCGCCGTTGCTGCTGGAAGCCGTAATGGGCGACTAACAGCGCGGGAAATGTTACGTTTTGAACGTGACAACAGCGAAAGCAGTCATTGAAGCGTAGTTCAGTAACCCTATGGTACCCGCCAACCAAACCAGCTGAAATCAGTTTTCTCTGTCTCTGTCTTCCTCAGGAATTTATTGTTCTGTGAAATATACTTATTTACGGAAATGAAAGGATTTTGTTGATTAACTGTCGTTACTACTTTCCCAGTTAAATGCTAGTTTCGAGCGGGTCAGGAAGGATTTTATTGTTAAAATATTTATTGTTAAATGAGCGCTGTTTTCAACGTCGTTACTACAACCCAACTGGTGATTTTCCGGTAAATTGGTGGTGCTTGGATTAGTAATTTTTCCGTATCTTAATCACATTTCGCTTAATATTTCCTACGTCAAGCAATTATTTCTATATTTTTGGAATTAGAGCAACTTTGACAGGAGACGACATATATTCCTCTCGCTTTACAGTGAATGTGTAAATTTCTTATAAGCTCTAGAGATAGTTTCATTTTGAATGTTACTTTTAATACATGATGGATAGAAGTGTTTTTGAAATGTTGTATTAATCTTTTGGTTTCAAGCGCTTATTGTGTGGTGGTAACCGAAAAGATGGCCTACAGTAGAAGCCATATCTTTACACTGTTTTCTTTACGCGAAAGTAAGTGATTCCATATGTTTTAAATTTGTTTTGAATTGTTTACAGCGATGTTGCTCTTTGTTTGATATTTATGTATTTGAAGTTTCTTTCTAACCATCCTTATTTTAACAGCCTCCATTTATTCGGGACCGTCTGTTTATATATAATCGTAAATGTTGTTCGCATTCTGTCACAAATTTCTGTTCTTACTTGTCGCTATTTTCGCGTTTTTTAGACTTACCTGTGATTAATTTCCTCGAGGGCGGTCGCTCGGCAAATAAAATGTCCTCAAAATCATGTAAATCTCCTCAGAAATCCCCCATGAAGTTAAGAAGCAGTCCAAGCAGGACTCAATTCTTCCAATCGCCTGTGTCTAAAAAGAGCCATGGAGTGAACAGCGGGAAAAAGACTCCTGTTAAAAAAAATGTCGCAAATGAGCCGAATCCGTCTCCGTCACGATCTGCCAAGAGGGTTAGTTTGTTTAAAA